GGAGCTTCTATTTTTTATTATCTTTTAGTACAGTTCTTAGGTTTCTTGTTATAAAAAGCAAAAGGATTATGTTTTAGGATGAAGGTTTTTTATAAGAGCTTGATTCTCCCAAAAGCCAAAACCTCTAACATTTCGTAAGATAACAATCATAAAGGAATAATTGGCCCATCTGTGTATGAGGAGGTTTTCTCATAATTTATCAAAGATTTGCGACAAGATAGCTCACGAATACTCTTATTATGTTTCATAGAAGGCTTGCGTTTCATGGTAGTGAAGGGTCTCTAGCTTTCAGCCAAGGAATAACTAGATGGAGATATTCAGAGGGATCCACCGATTGATGTTGTATCTTGACCGTCTTCTCTTGTTCAACAGAACTTTCTTCTAGAGGTATTCTCCCAATCAGGAGCCACCAGAGGCAATCAGTTGGGAGAGGAGGGTGAAGAGTAGTGGAAGTGTTTGATGAAGGGAAGGAGGGACGGTAGACAGAGAGGGTATGAGATAGAGACATAATCATCTTAGTTAGGATTAATGGAAACAAGAGAGGTGGATTTCTTGGTACCCTTGACAAGGAAGGTGTTTTTCTTCAATATTGTAAAGAATTTTTACGATCGGTAGCTAGGTTGCTTGGGTCAAGTAGGCCAGCTGTTTTACAGAAAAGAGGTGATGGCGGCTTTTCGGTGATATATGATAAATGGGATGGGCTATGTTTAATCATTTTCGGTTCGGTTGAGGTGGAGGTTTCATGTTCGTCTGAGTTGAGTTGGTGTCATAGAAAAAGATGTTAGAGTTGCTTGAGAGGTAGGCGTGATTTTGTAGACCAGTGTTATTTCCGTGAAGTCTTGTTTGTAGTTTCTCTCCCTTTGTATTAGAATATCCTTGTAGGAGGTGGGTGGGTTGGTTATTGGGTAAGTTATTAAGGCCCTGTGGGGTAGGTTGAGGTGGGTAGTTAGACATAAGGTTATATTAAAAGGCATGTCAGCCTTATCAATCATCTCCTGCTGATATTAGGATTTTGTTGATGCCTCCACCCCATTGGTATCGAGATTTGCGATTTCTCATAAAGATCCCTTTGTGTTGTCATTTTTTCCATCCCTAGAGTTTAGATATCTAGTTTCCTTGTAATATCTATGATTGAGAGGTATAGTGAGTAAGGATGAGATGTTAGAAAAAATCCAAGAAAATGAGGACCAGTGAATTGAAATGAAATAGGCTCGATCCTTCACCGTCTTTGTGATTTTTTATTTAGAGCCTTTATATCTCGTATCGATTTATATGGAGTAGTGTTTACGTTCGACTGTTGTCAAGTGAAGAAGTGGTGGGGCTCTGTCCATCGTTGGAGGTGTTGAATGGGGCCACTGAGTTCATTCCATGAATAGTGCAGGGTGGATGGAGAGGTTGGAGAGAGGGAAAGCCTTCATTGTTTTCTCCCTCCACTATTTGTTTTCACCAGTAAAGACCAAGAACAAGCAAAAATCCTCACTAAAGTTGTTGACAAGTACACTGTAGGCCTTTATGAACTGAAATTTGAAACATGGAGCTCCGATGCCTATCTTTGAAATCAAAAAGTCCCATCTTATGGAAAATGGATTAAGGTGAGACATTTACCGATTGACAAATGGAGCGTCGACACATTCCAGTGGATTGGTAACTCATGTGGAGGGTACTTGGATGCAAAAAAATCTCTTTCTAGTCTTTAGAGGTATTAAACCTAACAACCTCCAGCACATCTTCCTAAGACCTCTCCACCTCTCTAAAATTCTATCCTTCCTCTCAAGCCATAAAACCATAAAATAATTTAAAAAAAAGCTTGTCAAATAACTATGTCCTTATTACAAAAGGGAGGAAAATAGGTTTCGTTCCTTTAGTGATTCACTTCCCTCTCCACACTCCTCCCTAATATAGGTGCAATCAGGTATAACATCACATCAGAGTCCTTGTCGGAGTTCATGGTTTAAACCCTGAAGTTGCGGCAGAAGAACACGCTGGCCATACACATTCTTTTGCCTCCCCCAATCCCACTCGTGGACTGCTGTTCTTACCTATGTGTTGACCCAACCACAGAATCAAACTCTCGTGCTCCACCCCATCCTGTTTTGCCTCGTCTTTCCTCTTAACCGGCCTTTGTTTGAGCAGTTGTCTTCTGGACCTTCGTTTGGAAAGAATGTGAAGGGGTCTCGGCCTCAGGTTACTAGGGCCGAAGCAAAACAACCAAGCACTCTTGGGCAAGTGGATTTGGAATTTTTTATGAAGAGAGAATCTCTACGAAGGAAGGTTATTGCTGCTGTTAGAGTATATATTAGTATATTTTATATTCTTGTATTAATATTAATTTGTCATTTACCTTCTCCTTATAGGATTAGGTCAACCTTGTATATTTGTCTATATATATAGACTTTAATAATGAGAATACAGAACATTGGATTCTCTCCAACCTTAGTCTCTACATGGTATCAGAGCTCTAGGTTTCTTGCCCATTAGGGTTTTGTGCCCGTTAGGGTTTTGTGCCCGTTAGGTTTTTTATGCCCGTTAGGGTTTTGATGCCCGTTAGGGGTTTTGTGCCCGTTAGGGGTTTTGTGCCGTTAGGGTTTTGATGCCCGTTAGGGTTTTGTGCCCATTAGGGTTTTGGTGCCCATTAGGGTTTTGTGCCCATTAGGGTTTTGTTCATTGCTATCCAACACAAATCACCGCCGCTGTCGCCGACCACTGCCGTCGCTGCCACCGTTTACTGATTTGCCAGCTGTTTTCCGATTGTTGTTCGTAGGTTTCATCTCGCCGCCAAACGCCGTCGTCGTGTGCTTTCGTCACCGCCAGTCGCCACCCGTCGCCTTCGCCCCTCGGGTTGTCGTGGGGTAGCACATGGGGTTTCTGGTTTCAGAAAACACCTAATCTGGTTTGGTTCCAACCGTTTGATTCATCTGTTTTGTTTGGTTCGGATGGTTTGGTCTGGTTCTGTCGTTTTGTTCAAATAAGTTCGCTTTATTCTGGCTGAGAAGAAATCAATCGTAACTTCTGAGGTGATCCCAATGATATCAAAAAAAAATCACAGAACACAAGTTGAATAGATTATTTGTCTAACAAGTTGGGCATGATTAACATATATGCACCAACTTGAGGAGGAGTGTTAGAGTATATATTAGTATATTTTATATTCTTGTACTAATATTAATTTGTCATTTACCTTCTCCTTATAGGATTAGGTCAACCTTGTATATTTGTCTATGTATATAGACTTTAATAATGAGAATACAGAACATTGGATTCTCTCCGACCTTAGTCTCTACAGCTGCCAAATATGAAACTACTCGCATGGAATTAAAATTGGGAAGCCAATCTATCCATACAGCTCAAAACCCATTGAAAAACATCCGTAATTGCCAAAATCTGCTTGATAGCAGGGTGTTTTTCAAGGTTGGAGATCTCCCCATCCCTCCCTCATCTCACAGAGGATAACAAGTGCCCAAAAAGATATCCACCCCTCAACGACGAAGTGTCTATGGAATTATTTTATCCATATGCCACGGACCCCACAAGGTATATTACTTACGCTTCCTGTTGACACAATCCCCCCTGGCTTTCGAATGCCTATGCCTATGCACATTAGTAACCTTGGGTCTATCATTTAACTTTGAGGCCCTAAGCTCTTCCCTGCTACTGACAAGGAGGAACCACTCACCACACTTCTTTGAAATATGGGAGCATCAGGTCCACAATTCTAGAAATTCAGCCCATTCTTTAGAATCAAGAAACTTTTCCAACCTGGAGTAGGTGGAAGTCTCAAGTTAGACCACGTGAAAAAGCAATATCGATGAGCTCTAACAACCCATTTAACTTATTGAATTTTATCATGTTGGCTATAAATCTACAACTGGTAGACTTATTACTAGGATGCATGACATTAAAATCTTCTCCAAGGAGCTAAAATGACCAGCATAAACCATGGAGAAAGCAATAGGAAAGGAGATGGCCCTGCCACAATCTTAATCACCCTTAAAGGAGCTATCTCTCCACATAATTTGAATTCCACTGAAGACTCTTCAACATAGGGCCAACTAGCCAATACCTTTAAAAAGCCCACATTTTCTGATAATATTTGTATCCTCCAATCGCTTGGCCTGGGAATCCAGACCCCTTGTTCCATGAAAGGACTAACATGAGGAATCCAAGAGCTTCTTGGAGGAACCTTTCCTCCTTAAGCTTTACCCTTATAATAGTTTTTCTGAACAAGAAACAATTTTTCATTGATCAATGAAAAGAGTGAAAGTGTTCAAGATACAACCTCCAAAAGAAGAAAAGCAAAAACCAACTACCAACCAAACAAAAAAAGTCGAAACGGCCCCAAAAGAAAAAACCAAAAATAAACCAAAAGGTCAGCCAAAAAACCAACAAACTAACTAGAACTAGAGACAACTCTAGCTTTACCCTTATCATAGTTGATTGAACTTCTCAAAATTCAGCAGATGTTTGATGTTATTGAGTTTCTCCTCTCTTTGAGGGCGTTCTCCTCCATCTTTATTTCTCTCCAAACTCATGAGGAACTAAATTAAAATCTTCGTCAAACTCAGGAATGAAATTCATATTATTGTGTCTTGAATTAACTTCACAAAATCCATTTTTTGGCCTTAGAGATATCTGAGTAGATATGTTACTCGTAGTTTTGGAAATCCAGATCTTCATGAATGCATTGAATTTAGTGTATGACAGTCACTCGTGATATTTTACTACTACTACAGGTCCGTGAAATCTTTTAAATTTTCTTCATTGGAGAAATAGTTTCCTCAGACAGCTTATTGTTGTGTATAACTGTTGCTGCTCTTTTTGTTTATCCGTAACAAATAAAATATACATAGTGATGACCTTTACCCCAATACCAAGATTGTTTTTTCTGGGTTTTGAGGTTCACTGGTAAAATGATAGTGATACACATTGGGCTTTTCATTTCCTACATGATTCCGGTCTTTAAACTTCAAGTTGATGCTTTTATATGGTGTTCTGCTCTCTAGGTTGTTCATTTTCGAACTTTAGAGAGACCTAAAGAGGATGACTTTTGCCTAGAGCTGTAAGTAATTCCACCTGAAATTTTCTAGTTTCATTGGAGATTCATCATTGTTGATTTAGTTTAATGTGCATAACTTCTCTTCTGTAGGTCTAAAGTTCATACTTATGATGAAGTCGTAGAAAAAGTAGCACAACGAATTGGTCTGGATGATCCGTCCAAAATAAGACTGACTGCACATAACTGCTATTCTCAGCAACCTAAGCCACAACCTATTAAATATCGAGGGGTAGATCATTTATCAGATATGTTGGTACATTATAACCAGGTAGTTTTTTCTGGATTTTTGTTCCTTCCCCATTCTATATGTGGCTGGTTTCACGATTTGGGACTGAAATTTGGGTTACATGTTGACAGATGTCTGATATTTTGTATTATGAAGTCTTGGACATTCCCCTCCCAGAATTGCAAGGTCTGAAAAATCTGAAAGTTGCTTTTCATCACGCCACAAAAGATGAGGTGCTAGCAGTTTGTGGCATAATTTTTCTTTTCTGGATTGTTATCCGGCTTTTGAGCAATTTTGTTTAACTTGTTTCCAGGTGGTTATTCACAATATTAGATTACCTAAACAGAGTACCGTGGGTGATGTTATTAATTTACTTAAAACAAAGGTATGTGCTGTTATCTTTCAATAATCCCTTTTAGAATCCTGATGATCAAAGTTCTGATGGGGTGAAAACAGTATCTAGTTATTTTATATTATTATTCCTCTTTTCATTTACAATCTTTCACATTCGTCAGTGATCTTAGTACTCCCTGAAACAGGTTGAGTTATCTCATCCAGATGCAGAACTTAGATTACTTGAAGTTTTCTATCATAAGATCTATAAGGTAATGATTTGCTGAACTTGGAATTTGATTTCCTCTCAGATCAAGTTATTATGAGATCTTTTCCTTCTTTTTATTTTATCTTTATGCAAATATTTGATGCTTTTGTCGTGTGATTAGTGTGAAGTTTATGTTGACATTTAGAGCCTTGGTTTGGATGTATAGTGAATCCTATGCTTTTAATTGTAACTAAGCTTCCTTTTCCAGATCTTTCCACATAATGAAAGAATTGAGAACATAAATGACCAGTACTGGACACTACGTGTGGAGGAGGTACGAGTTTTCATCATAATCATATCTTCTAAATTATTGTTTTTTCATCCATATTGTCTTATTGATGTCAGACATACAGCGTTGTTTCTTGAATGCTTTTGGTGATTTGCATTTTTACAAATTTCATTTAACAGAGAGAGTAGGAACTTTGGACAATTTGTTATTACAACTTGATGCTTGCCTTCTATTATTTTTTATGTAAATATCAGATCCCCGAAGAAGAGAAAAACCTTGGTCCCCAGGATCGTTTGATTCATGTGTACCACTTCAGCAAAGAGACGGCGCAAAACCAAATGGTATGAAATTTGTATTTATCTTGAGCTTTATGAGAACCCTTATTTTTAAAGCCATCTTGTGTCATAGTTTCTAAGATGCATTGTTTTGACAACAGCAAGTTCAAAACTTTGGAGAACCCTTTTTCTTGGTCATTCATGAAGGCGAGACGCTGGCTGATGTTAAAGTTCGCATACAGAAGAAACTTCAAGTTCCAGATGAGGAATTCTCCAAGGTAGACTATTATTAGATATAAATTATGCTGTGGAAATGTCTCTTTCGAAATGCAAATTAATTTGGTATCATAATGATATGGGTGCTTTTCCAACTTTAATTCTCCAGTGGAAGTTCGCATTCTTTTCTTTGGGACGGCCAGAATATCTGCAGGATTCTGACGTGGTCTCCAATCGTTTTCAGGTAACTGCTCTTATTGCAATAGTATACTTTTTGTTCTCAACTGTTCTGTTTGAGTTGCCCTTCAAAAATTCGACCAACTGTTCTTATTGCAATCGTTTTCTTGCTATTGAGCTGTTTACTTCATTAGTTGAATAATGTAATGAACTGTACGAATATATTATACAGAGGAGAGACATTTATGGTGCTTGGGAACAGTACCTTGGATTGGAGCATTCAGACAACACTCCCAAGAGATCTTATGCTGTCAATCATGTGAGGGCCTTTTACCATCTTTATGGTTACCTTGTGTAGTAAATACTCTTGTAGGCTTGCTAGTTATGGTAACACTACAGACCCCTTTCTGTTTTTTTGCTTCTCTCTTGTTTACCAATGAGACCACCACAATGAGGCTATCCCTATTAACCATCGGATGCATGTTCAAAATTTATCTACTCTTAATAATCGCTCGAGCATCCAACGATGGAAAATTATCATTCATGTTCCAGCCCCTCGAATAATTTTTAGAATCTCTCTTTTTGCCTACTTGTATGCCTGAATGTAGTACAGGAGTAGTATACTTGAAGTATAATTTAGATTCGAGTACAAGATTATATAGCAATGTTCCATATTATAACGGTCAAATTGCATAAACGTTTTGCAGAACCGTGCCACGTATGAGAAACCTGTGAAAATATACAACTGAACATTCCCCATCTTCCACACCAATACTTCAGCTATATGAAGTACCACTTCGGCAATTGTGGAAGAAATGTAGAGTATGCAAACAAGAGAGGTGCGTATGAAGAAACAAAGCTCCTATTGAAGTTACTCTCTAGTATGTAGTTATAGGAATTCAGTGATATAGTTTTTGTTTTCCCTTTTCTTCTCTCTTCCTTTTTTTTTCCGGTTTAAATTCCTGGGAGGTTAGTTTTTCTTCGGGCGTTTTACTGTTCGATTCTTCCATCTGGGGCTCTACCATGTGTTTTCTAATGCACTCATTAAAGCTTCAGCTTTATAAAGAGGTTGGTGGGTTATGAAGGTCTAGTGTATAATTTACCAGGTACATAACAAGTTTCTCTTTATTTTCTTCTTTTTTCCATCTGAGGGGATGTATATTGAGTTTATAGTTGGGCAGTGTTTTTGTCTCATTCATTATTTTTACCCTCTTTTGGTTGTGCTGGTTTTCCCTAGGGTGATGAGATGAGTTTGTGAAAGTCTATAATCCTTGTGTACATCATTAGAACTGCAGTGTAGTATATAATATGTTCATTTCATCCAGTTATGTGGGAGACCCCATTTAATGATTCCAATTAAAACCTTCACAACTAATTTTCCATTTTTCATTTGTTTCTTCTTTTTTTATAAAAAAATGGGATTTTACTATTTTCTATTTCAAGAATATCATATGATGACCCTAACTAAGGATGGGTATAATAGTGTTGTGGTCGTACTAATCCTATTTTACTTCTTTTTATCATTGGTAAGACATTTTCTGCCGGGATTTAGAGATTAGGGCAAAATGAGCCTGTATTTGGTGTCCTATTTGGTCTGTGAGGTTTCAAAAAATTAGTCTCCGAGGTCTGTATAATAGTTTTAACTTCCTCAAGCTCATTTGGTGGTTAGTCTAAAACGATGACAACAATCTCAAATCTTAAGGATCATTTCCATCCCAAGGTAAGTTATATTATATTATATATTTTATGAAAATATTTAATATAAAATTAAAGTAAAAATATACTTCTTGTACTTCCATTAAAGTAATTATTTAGTCCCTGTGGTTTTTATCGTTAAAAATTAGGTTGCGGGCATAATTACTGCCAATTAGGTCGCAGGGCTCATAATTATGCTTCATCCAAGCTTGGGTAGGTTCCTACTTTGGTTTTGAAAGAAAAAGAAATCTCATCCTCTTATGTGGGATTGTATCTAGTGCCATCTTAATACTCACACATCACCTCCCTCACCATCTTCTCCGGCGAGCTCTCTGGGAAATCCCACCGTCGGTAACCTCCAATTTCTAGAAACCCTCGTGCTTCACAAGCTCTACAATATTCTCTTCGGCTCCATCCACCCTGCCATCGCCAATCTCCCTAATCTCACATTCCTTGACCTCCTGATGAAGAGGATGATTTTAGGGAAACAGAGGAAGGGATGTTGCTTCCATTTGCTTCCAAAATCTGCAGCAGTTAACTTCAAATTTCAAACCAACCCACAAAAGTTAGAGAGAGAATATTAATTCTAGAGTCAAAAGTCAGAGGCTCAAAATAGTTTGTGGAGATTGGCGATGGCAGTGTGGATGGGGCGAAGAGAATATTGGAGAGCTCATGGTAAACCAATTTTAAAGTGCCTTAGTTGGCAGTCACATCAATTTGGATCGGTTTTTAATGGTAATGGTTAAATTCTAAACAATTTTAAAGAAGTTTTCTTACTCTAATTTCTGGATGCCTTATACTAATTTTTGTTCTTACTCACCTCATTGCATCCAGGATATTTCACTAATTTTTCTCTACGCGTGCTATTTCAAACACTAAAATATCTACACTAAAATATCTACACTAAAATATCTTTCTATATTACATATTTCCTTACGTATAGCCTCCATTACATAGGTAGAATATAATAAGGCATTGGTCAAATTACAAGTTTGGTCTCTAAAGATTTAAGGCGGCGAGCTTTGCACTTTAAAGATTGCATCTAATAGATCGTTGAAATTTAAAAAGGTGTTTTGTAGATCCTTAAATTTTAATAAACGTTTAATAGGTCAATGGCGTAATACAATTCTAAACTTTCAAAATATCGAATATGTCAAGAACTTATTTTTATACAAAATTAAAAGTTCAAAATTTATAAAGTCAGTTCAATAACCTACTGGGAAAAATATTAAAGATTTAGAATCCTATATTAGGTCAACTCTAAAAGTTTAGACTAAATTTGTTAACAATAAATGTCCCAATTTTTTTTTACCGTATAGGATATTTCCTAACAATAAATGTTACATTTATAAATTAAAAAATTAATCTGCTTAAAATATTGAGTTTAAATTTCAAATTTGGTGGGGAGATTCCTTGTACAGTTTTTGCAAAAACGAAATGCTTTTTTTTTTTTTAGTAGGAATAGGAAATTTGAATTCACAGGTCAAATATAGGTCAAATTTGAATTCACAGGTTACTTTACAGTCACCTCTAGTATTTGTAATAAATCAGTCCAGGACTAATTTTAGAAAATGTCCATATTACTCTTTTGTATTGCAACCTCCAACACCAACATCCTAACATTACACATAATGCCTAATAAAAGTTGATCAAAAGACAAGCCAACATGAGTTTAACTCATCGGTAATTAACATTTGTCTTTGACCAGGAGGTCATGAGTTTGAATCTACTACCTCATTTTTTGTAGTTGAAAAAAAAAAATCAATCAGGAAACCCTTAATCATCATAATCAATTAAGACCCCTGATCATCGTGTAACAAACAATATTTCGAAGACTAAACTATTTCAAATACAGACAGATTTAATATCCAAATTCTTTGCAAACCGCTGCAAATGATCAATGGATCTAACTTCCAAAGGTAAAGGTTACATAAAAACTTTGCATTCGATCCTCAAGTAAAGAAAAAAAGGTCCAGTGCAATACAAAGGCATAAATTTGGCGTACAAACCTGTGGGGCATCTTATGAATTTTGAGGCATATCTCAGTCTCTATAGGACTCTGTAGGATATCTGACCATCAACCGTCTCGACAGCAACCCGCTTCATTCGCACGAATATAAGCAGAAATGATCTCGCCTTGGGACCTTAAAAAAATAAGAGAGCACCACAAAATCTGCTTGTTAATAATAGTCAAGAATTCTGGGGTGGTTTAATTCGCTACCGCTAAATGTCAAATGGGATATAAATTCAATTTTGATCAAGATGACATAGCGTGGAAATGGCATGTCAAGTCTATATTGGTGCATGGCTATGGAGAATATGGTGAGAAAGGAAGAATCAAATGTAAAACACCAGCAAAGAAGTTCATAGTATTGCCAATCGTAGCAAGCAGACGTGCAACAGTGTGGCTTTTTTGTTTTTTGGTCCAAAAACATTAGTTTTGACAGAAATATGTAAAATAAAGTGGACGAAGACAACATTCTCTCCCTGGCTGGTAGAGTGCTACTGTTCTACTAATGCACGAAAGGGTGAGTAAAATTAAAAAAAAAAAAATTAAAAAAAAAGTCTTCTTGGGCAGGAAAAAAAAGGACATATAATTAAATTAGTCCATGAACATCACCAAGGTCCATAGATGAAATTTCGTCTTGAAGGATATAGTTTTTTCCCTTGGCTTTCATTTCCAGACATGAATTGATCTTCTCAACGGCCACGATGAGGTCCTGGACAAATTGAATTCCAAAGATGTAAAATTTTGCAAATACAAATGACAATTTTGCATTAGGTTGATCGTAAAAGATATCATGCAAATATGATGGGTGTAATTTTAGTTGAGGGCTTTTGGAGGTTTATGGGATCACGACATGTTCACATTCAAATTCTTCACACTGACAATTGTGGAGAATTCTTTAAAACCATGCTAGGTGACTGGCAAAGAGCAAATGGGATTGTACACCAAAGTTCTCACAAAGACACTCCCCAACAAAGTAGAATTGCTGAAAGAAAAAAAAAACATCTTCTCCACAGCTAAATCTCTTACGATCACCACTAACAACCTGAATGTTTTTAGGTGAAGCTATCGTCACTACCACTTATTTATTTAGCAAAATGTTATCTCGAGATTAGAACTCCCATACAGAGCCTTCTTGACTATTACCTTTACCCCATTACCGAGATTGTTTTCAACATTACCTCCTAAATCCTAAGATATCTTTTGAGTTGTATGGCTTTTGTTCAAAACCCATTTCCCAATCGAAGTAAACTTGACCTAAGGCTATTAAATGCGTCTTTCTAGGATATGCCTCAAATCAGAAAAGACTTGGATGCTATACCCTTGGTGTGTCTATGGATGTTACCTTCTTTCAAAACGAGTTGTATTAACAAAAACCTAAAACTTCAGCTGAAAACCTCCTCGAGAACTTCTTTGGAAATTACGTTAGAGATGAAATAAGACTCTAAACAAATTCATTGTGAGGATAACATACCTGGCTACTAAGTACATGAACAATAAAAGTCCGAACATAGGATTCAATAAGGAACCAACCGCGTATATTAGAGCTAGGAAAAAAAGTATGAACTTCTCAGATTTCATATTAATTAGAAGCACATGTGACGAATTCTCATGAATATAATTATCCAAATATTCCTAGTTATCCCCATAACAGTTTTCTACAAAACACTACCCAAACACAATGAACATTTAGATTCTCAAGCATCTAGATATCGAGCATCCAAATCGACAAATGGCCCCTAAGTATACGTGTATATTTTAGAAACCTAACACTTACCTCACTATTTTTATAGTTAAGTTTTCTGTGAGTGGTTTTGTAAATGGGGATCCCATTTCTTTTGATCACTACCAAGACCTATAAATTTGTCTGTTTCCAATAAAAATCGATGCAGTTTTCATCTAATTCATCATGCATTTGTTAGTAAGGACTCTTCGGCTTGTTAGGAAGAGATCAACCATCACAGACCTACATAGATGGATCAATAATGGAAACTCAACAGACATTAAAGAATAAAATCAAATGGAAAGTAAAGAGCGTCGTACCTCCCATGATACTAGGCTCTTCATATATGATGGGAGACTTTCAAAATCGTCCTTTGATAGCTTAATTAGAGGTGAAATAGCTTCTTTGGATGTGAGGTAATCTTCACCTTCCCCTGCCTCAAACAAATACTTAAATTATGAACTTTCATATCTCGATATTGGTAGAAAGATGGGGTTCTCAAATAATGAAGCCTAATACTGCAAGAACTTTCTACCTTCAGACAGCCCCACAATCTGTACTTGGCATGGAAATTTGGAGTCGAGTGGTTTCTCTAAGAATCTAAAAGGAAAAAATGTCATCAAATAATTTGAATTTATTTATCTTCTGAAGCCATTACATAATTGATACAATTTTGAGTATTGAGACCCACCTTTTTGGGGTATGCAAATCTCCATATGGATCATCGAACGTAGAGTTGCCTATAAATGCAATAATAAGCAGAAGTCACTTATTAAGAAAGCCAATGCTAATGATTTTAAGCGAAGAATAAAACACTCCAGATAATGAAAAAAAAAAAAATCAAGGTTCAGACATCTTCAAAATATTGATAACCGTAACATTTACATCTCATACATATTCTGGAAGATAGCATATAAAGGCAAGTGGAAAGTAGAGTATTCTGACCTTCGGATGCTAAAGTGGCAAGACAAACATCCGAGAGCCCAGCATTTTGTAAACTTAGTAAGTCATCGAGTCTGGAAATGAAAGAACAACAAGATAATTAGTTAATTAATAGGTAGCCATCTTTTTAAACCTATCCACTGTTTTGACAGATGAGCAACATGCGACGTCATGTATTTTATAAGCTTTTTCATTGTTTTTACACTTTAAAAGGAAAAAGGAAAAATAATTTCTTGAAGAAGTCCTAATCTTTCATGATATTATTATTCACAATACCGTATTTTTATATCTATTATTTTAAGCCCTAAAGAGCCATTACACTTCAGTGTGCCACTTTTAAAGGACTTTATAACCACAAATTTCAAAGCACTTCGCTTGATATGCCTTACACAACCCAAGGTCAAAGTGCATATGGACAGCAAACTCAAGAACAGAACAAGCCAAAGCGGGAATGTGTGCATTTCATACTCTAAATGAAGAACCTTGAAATTTGTGGTTTATGAATCAAAGTTTTCATGTTTTACTTTTCTATATTTATAAATAACCAATAAGATAAGAAACGCCATTAACAAGGGGAGGGGGAGGGGGATGGGAGGATACAGTATGTCTTCTCTGAAACTATGCATGGCAAGTCCTGTCGTGGAGACTGATCTCTGGTAAGAAGACGGTACGCTCAATCCATCCTTGGGGCTTGAAATGTCAAAATTCAACCCAGATGTCGATACATGGTTATAAATTTCGTCGTCTTCATCAATCTCGAATTCTAAGCCAAAAGAAGGGAGAACAATGCGGAGAAAAGATTACAAGCAGACATATTAAATAGAAACAATAGCTATTTTTCCTTTTCGTTTTATGATTTTCCGAAAGAAGTATAAGTGAATTTTCTTCTTGAAAGGATAAAAACGCACGAACATGCCCTGCCGCTTTCATCCAAAAATAGAGACACAACGAGAAATTTTGAAAGAGATTTACAAACAAGAGAACCACGAAAGACGTGTGTAATCTGAACCACTGCACAGTGCACTCGTTATTCCATCTCCTCATTCAGGAAAAGCAGGAACTCAGTATTATAATTCACCTGGAACATATCCGACGCCTTTTACATGCTTTTGTAGCTCCAACAGATCGCTTTCATTCTTCTTGTAAACTTCACTGACGTGCCCCAGTAGCTCCTCGAAGGATACTGTTTCTAAGGACATTGATTCGAGCAGGTTGAGATCAACGCCAACAGTCGACACGCGGCGGTTGAGAGATTGTATGAAGGTCGATGATGCCGAATCTGTAGAGAATCGCAACAATTAACAGAAATCAATACCCTAACTTATCTCCACCCTCAAAATTGTCGTCCGCTCCATGAAATTAAAAGGCGATAGCAAATTTACGAACGAAACAAAACATCGAAATTCAATCTCCTAGCAGTAATTGTACGTTAATTCTGATTCGAATTCCAAAAAAGAGAAGATAACGAAAGAACGGGCACCAAGGGGAATGGGGCGGCGATCGACGGACTGCTTGAGAGCATCGCAGGTGTTCTGGAGGTGATTGCAAAATGGAGCTAGGGTTTTGCTGAAGTTCGAGATCAGTTCCTCCATTTCGTTTCTCGTTCAGATATTCAAATTGGATGATCCTTTAACTCATCCATTTAGCTGACCGAAGAGGAGGAAGAATAATAAAAAGGCGGGAAACAATATTCGATTTTAAGATATATTCAAATATTACTTTTGTCCCGACACTTTTTTTTGCTTTTCTTTCTTTTAAAAACATTCATTTCTATTTCTGCGTCATTTCTTTTGAGCATAATTTTAACACGACACCTTCAATGATTTAAATATACCTATAAATTTGTATTAAAGAATTTTTATTGAGTTTAATATAGTATCGATGGCTATAGCTGTTTTTCTAGTTTGTCGGTCCCCGATTATAAATTCTCATTGGCCACGACCTATAGGAACTAGGCTATCTACTGTTTTTAACCCTATTTGCATAGGCTCGTGCACATATTTACGTTCAATAATCCTAGGGGCTTTCACTTCGACACGTCTTCGCTCGTGATCGGTTAGGATGTCCATTGCCACTAGTATACCCACCAAGCTCATTGTTCTAGTGATTAACGACTTCTCTTTAAATAATGGATTTATCCGTGAAACTCGTGTAGGCACGAATTTTAGTTAAGATTTAGTTTTTAAAGGCTTGCTTTCTATTCTCGCAAATCGAGTCTGACCTCTATTCCAATTGGATGTTTATGTGAATTAAAATAGATATCTTGAAAAACAGCAATACAATGATTAAAATAAATAAATATTTTAAAAATACATAATCCAAAATAGTATTTAAATATAGAAAAAGGAGGGGAAAGGAGGGAGTGGTAGGAATTTGATTTTAAGCTTGATGAATTATAGAAAAATTAAAACATTATACACGGACATGGTAAATAAAAAGTAAACACACATGCAGAGACATACATACATATTTACTGGAAGTTACATTTATAAATATGATAAATAGTGTGTTCAAGAGTAATTTTAATATAGGAAAATTACTTTTACCATTACTAAAACCAATTCCATTTTCAATTGATCATGTTTGTCATATTAAAAAATTGATTTTAGGAAAACATAAAATCATTTATAATTAGTAATTTACGAAAATCAATTATTCTTAAATATTTTTTTCTAAAATCACTCATTTTACCATCTCTCAAACACACCCTAAATATTTTCCTTCTACCATCATTCCCAAACCCACCCTAAATATTTTCAAATATTAAGCACTTTGCAATATCTTGATCTATCTATTTTAGTTCTTATTACACTACCCTCAATAAATTTCTTAAAATATTATAACTTTTAATTAAAATACAATTTTAATCCATGAATTTAGAGATAGGTTTTTATTTGATTCCTAAGTTTTAAAAAGTCACAGTTTGATCCTTGACCTTTAAAAAATAATTCTAAAATGTCCATGGGACTAAAATTCCGTTAGTAACAATAATGGAATACTGATGAGTTGGATATTTATTTAATTTTATATTATATGTGCATTTTTTTTATTATTTAGAGATGGGAATAGAGTGAGAGAAAGAAAAAAATAATAATAAAAAAATGACACATATATTAAAAAATAATATAAAATTAAATAAATATCCAACTCAGCATTCCATCAGTGTCACAATCGAAACATTTGAACCAAACCGACTTCCTCTCCTGCTCGACCGACCATAGATTCAGGGGTCTCATTGGGTATCATTTATCTGACAAATGATTTTGATTCCATCCAATGCAATCCGTGAGAAAGACGACGACACATTTACGGGTTTCGACAAGATCGCGTTTTCAATCAGTGACACTTCATTGAGAGATGGTGAAAAGAACAGGTATATTCAGGGGATCAAGTTTTTCAAAGCAAAAAAAAACAGGTATATATTCATGGAAACGACCTCATACCTTGTGTTCAACAAAAAAAACAAGAAAAAGGAAGTCTCGAGGGAATATATTACAATTTAAAACCTATTCATCTTCAGTTCCCATGAAAAAAGCAGAAGAAGAAGATGACAACGTGACGATGAGAAACCGAGTGAGAGATAAGGAACAACTTACAAAGGCGTGTGTTCGGTACTTGCTATCGCTTTCATTCCCCATATGTATAAAACTCAGATGCTGTAAAATTTTAGATGCCTTTTCCTTTGTTTCATGAGAGATCACCTTTAAGAGCAGTAGCGGCCCTTCTAATGGCTCTAACCACTCTCCAGATCTCATGCTGAATTGCAGCCTGCCTTTCTCTTTGGTTCATTTTCGTGGATTCGGAAACTGCATCTGCAATACCGGGAAAGTAAACCAGTGCACTTTCATAGTCGCTCGGAGGCCCGTAAACCTGCAACAAGGAGGATTATCACAGAATCTACACAGAAGTAATATTTCGCTGCCTGCAGATGGTAGTACTTCAAAGAGAAGCAACCAGCTACCAGAATTTCATGATTCATGTTTAGAGAATAGCCTAGATGAATTGGCAGTGACCGATTCCTTTCACATGTATAACACTAGATAAAGCAAAGCATTTCCTTTGATGAGAAAACCGCTTTCCTTTACATGTTTCTCGTTTCCACTTTTTCAATCAAGAAAAATAGATTTGCATTCGGTAACAATTTCTTGTTCTTTCTTTTTTAATAAATATGTTTGGTAATCATTTCTTGTTTCTTGTTTCTTGTTATCTGAGATTTTAAATGAAAACGTAAAAGTTTTATATGAAAATTAAATATTAGAAATTTTACATCATGTTTATATTTTTTATATTTGTTATGCATTTAATAATTCTAAGAATGATAAAATAATGTTTGTATCTATGTTTTGGAAAAAAAAAAACAAGAAACTTGATCTTATTGTTCCTAAAATTTCTATACAATTTTGGAAACGTTTCTTAAAGATGAGAAACGAAAAACAAAAACTACCAAACGCTTATGTTTCTCAAAATTGTAAATGAGAAACAAGAAACGGGATCATTATCAAATGCGCCATTAGACACTAATTTCTTAAATTTGGATGCATTCTCTTACCTTTTTAGGTTCAATTTGCGGAAGTCTCCGCATCGCATAAAGATAAACTAAAGAATCTCTTTAGTATTCTCAAGATCACCGAGCTCTCCTCAGGTCTATGATCTTGATCGTAATACAGTTGCTAAACAGTTAACACTTGCAATCAATTTCAGTACTATGATGAAAAAAACACTTACAAGATGCTTGAACCAAGGACGGCCTCGGAGCCCATCTACATCCAAGAAGCCTCTTTCGGCAAGCATCAAACGATCGTTTAATGCTCGCTTCTGCAACAATGCCACATCACTAGAAGTTTCTTGCTCTCTCAACCTCTGTATAATATAGTGTGGCTGTTAGACCATATGCATACACATCATTAATGTTAAATGCAACATCCCATGTTCTGTTAATTTTAGAGATCCTACCTTGGCTTCGTTCTCAATTTCTTGGGCAGCAGATTGTAGTTCTTGGATGGCTGTCGATAATGGGAGCAATGATACGCTCTCATCTAAGAAATCATTAAGTGTATCCTTGTATGCCTGTGTTGGAAGGGATTTGACAACATTTTAATTTTATAGACAATTTATGCTACAAAAAGAAGCAAGATGTTGTGCTTCTAAAATCTAAGTACAATGCCTACATAAACGTTTCAAATATAGTTTAAGTTAAAATCCAAATTCGGTCCCTAAACCTTTGTTCATTTTTCATTTTAGCTACTTAAACTTTTGAAATTTTGATTTTAATCCCTCAACTTTCTGAAACAATCTGAACAACAAACTAAAGTATATCCGGAGTATGGCACCTGTAACTGATTCGCATAAGAGACGTAACTGAAAGGGAGAATTAAATCATCAGCGAGTCGAAGGGCTAGCAGTCCCCAAATGTTTCCAACTGTAGGTACAACAAAGCGAGAGAAGACCATTATACCAAGAAAAGGCAATAGAAAAGTAGTCATTCAACCTTATTAATAAACCATGGGATCAAACGCTATTCTCTTCTTTAATGGAAGTAGTTTCTTATAAGAAAAGAATTTTAAAAAATAAAGATAATGCCAATCTAAAACAAAGCTAACCAGTCACATGTCGATGAAACGATGGATCTCCATAATTTGCCATCCAATCATAGGTGTCAAAGGCGGTATGATAGACAGGAAAATCTGAAAAAGGAAACTTATCACAAAACACAGACGAGACGACTATACGATAGGATATGTACACCATACCAAACTCCCAAGCCCTGTATCACCAGGGAAAAGCTATGCGGCTCAAGACAATATCAAAAGCATTAAGAATCATGGGAAAAATCATTTTTGGTGATTGTGATTCTCACTACTATTCAAGTACCGTTATACATTTCACAAGACTATCCTCATTTCTAATCATTATTGGTGATTGTGATTCTCATATCTAGCAAGGATTTCTCTGATTCTAAATATTCTTTTGCCAGGATCTCCAAATTTACCCTAAATTGTTAGCATATATGTCAGAGAAAAGTACCTCTTCCATAATACACATCAACAGAAGGAACTCCTGCATGTTGCACAAATGCAGCAAAATCAGAATTCAGAGCACCAAGTCTTTCAATCTGCAAACTAGCCGAGAAGGATTGAAATCAAAACTATCAACAAGGAATTCACAACTTCTACGTAATCATGTACATGAAAACACAGAATTCACAACTTCTTCATGACAGCATTTAGTAATATTCATACCTAGAGTTTATTCATACCTAAATAAAACTCTATTCAGTACTGAGGAATCCCAAGAACGGTGGTATTTATGTAGTCTTAGCAAGTGTAAGTAAATTATTTTTCCTGTTTTACCGATTACAGCTTAAGTGACTTTTGATGAGTTGGAGGGCCTTTTCATAGTTCTCTCTTGCTTGGAGTTTTCTCCTTTTGTATGTGTATGATATCAATAAAAATAAACAAATAAATAAAGGGAACCCAGGAACAAACAAACTAGTCCTCCAACTGCAGGTTGTAATTCAGAAACAACAACAGAAGCTCGAACTGATACCGAGTGGTTTCTTTTTTCTTTTAGAAAATACTGAACTTTAGAGAAAACGACCTTTCATTGAGAAAAATGAAACAAAATAAAAGGCCATACAAAAATAAAGGAGCCAAACTAAAAGAACAGGCTCCACACTAGCAAAATCAAATCTAAAGAGTAACTACAAAAGGCTTTAGACACCGAGGCCCAAAGAGAAATATGAAACTGAACAACCGCCCAAGCTTCCTCTAAAGATCTCTCAAAGTGGTTTCATTGAGCTAAGATCATGGGCAATTCTGCTGTAAGCTCGGGCCAAGGATTCTAAAAGGAATCATTCCACAGCCACACTTGAGTAACTCTACACAGTCTAGGCTCATTAAAGATTTGATATCCGTGAGTATCCAAACCCACTAGGATGCATGGTACACCTTAGTCAATCTCATGGTACAATTTTCTAACCCTACGGTACAACATTTGGTTGCATTGGCCTTGATAACCACTAGATCAACCAAGCGTTGTTTCAGAAAATTGATTAGGATAGCCTCTGGAACCTGAAATAGAGCAGAGCTAGACACTATAGACAGAAAATCAAAGTCACTCTAATTCAAAAGTTTAGTTACATATCTTCTACTTTTATTTGAAGCCTTATGCAGTAGAGAAGAAAAGTCAGTGTGGGGACTAGTTAATCACTTCACAGTCATACAACAGGCATGAAGCAAGACAGCACGAAAAGCCAATGGGGGTACGAGGATTCATATTAATAACAGATTAAGATAGTGTGGCCTTACATTCCCAAAACCATTTGTGGCAGTCCATGTGTCATACACTGTTGCACCTTTCACGTCGGGATCCTGGACCTGAAATCAGTTCAAGACTTTAGAAACACGTGTGACTTACAGCAACCCTGTTCTTTAAATATTTTTGAAAAAAACCGACTGAACCAAGTCAGAGGACAGTG